AATAGCATAGAAAAATAGAACATTCTTTTCTCTATCAGACTATATAAAAAGAAAGTTTCTTTAACCTTTCTATAAGGGATAAAAATACCACTGCCACTACTTTTGGTATGCCCTAAGTAGATATGATTACCTGTCAAAGCTGTCTTCCAGTTCACTCAAATGCATGTAAAAACAACTGTTAATGATATGGCATCCCAAGCATCAAAAGAAAATCTAGTATCGCCCGGTTCATCTAGATTCCGTCCGGGCAGGCTGAATAATTAATTCATACGGGCCGGTCAGGATACGTCGCAGTAAATATTATTAAGTATATATGATATACTATTCCATGCAGTTTTTTGACTAAAATGTGTAAAGTACTTTTCTCTAACAAGACTTCGCAGCATCGAGTAATTTTCACAATGACAATTTTAGCACTGGCTCTGCCACCTAAGCTCTTCTGCACTTCTTCTTGTTTTCATACTCATGTTCCCACTTCGCATACTTTTTATCGTTTTCGACTTTCCATACTTCCTTGCTTTTCATTCTCTCTTCCTTTGCTGCTTTTCCTCGTTTTCTTCTTTTCATTCTTTATTACTTTTCAGCCTTTCTTACCCGTCTACTTTTCATTTTCTCTGACTTTTCGTCTTTCTTACTCTTCACGCTTTTCATTCTTTTCTATTTTTCAACTTTTCATACTATCCACCCTTTCTACTTTTCAGGCTTTCTTATTATTCATGCATACTTTTCATACGTAAACATTTGTTTTCCGCACCTCATGCCTGTAAAACTAATATCTTAAGTGACTCACTCTCATCCCGGCTTAAAGTTACAGTATTTCGTGGCTATATTTCATATTACACATTTTAAAACCAATGCGGCTATCATGTTGGGAATTTTAATAAAAAGTTTCAATCAAATAATAATAAAAATTAAACAATTAAAACTAAAACATTAAAATTATAATTCAATATTTCGACCTATTAATACGGTCATTTTCAAGTTTCTAATCGTATAGGATGTTACATAAAGTTGAAAACAAAAATAACAGTAAAAAAACAGTTATTTTTGTTTTCAACTTTATGTAACATCCTATACGATTAGAAACTTGAAAATGACCGTATTAATAGGTCGAAATATTGAATTATAATTTTAATGTTTTAGTTTTAATTGTTTAATTTTTATTATTATTTGATTGAAACTTTTTATTAAAATTCCCAACATGATAGCCGCATTGGTTTTAAAATTTTTATTCTTAACTTTGCCGATAAACTCGAAAAACGTTATTGATATTACACATGCTTTTCATATTCTCACACCTCTGACCTTTTTGTGCAATTCGTGTAGAAATGTCAGATCTAAAAGATACATAAAAGTAGATTTTCCACTGGCGCTTTCTAAGATGGAAAAACTTAAGTTTTATGAAAAGAAGAGTTTTTGAGGAATGGAACAATTCGATTTTTTAGGCATTTTCTTGGAAGTTCTTGGAGACAACAAATATAACAATTTGTTCGATTTTTTGCGCTCTTTCAGATGAGTGGTTACTAAAAAGATCGCAGGTAATATTGGATGGTTCAAAATAATGTAAATGTATTAATGGTCCAGCTAATCCAACAAGTTCACCATTTGAGTTAATTAAATCTAGACGATATAAAAAGTCTAATGTATGTAAACAATGATAACGTGTTTGTATATCAACTAAAATTTGTTTCGATGTTGATGAGATAAGAGCACATTCTAAAGCAATTAATGCACGATTGTATGCATCATTTTTATCATTCGATTTTGTATATAAATGAAGTAAACGTATTAAAAATGTTACAGATGTCGGAAAATGAGCACGTATATTTGGAATAGATGATATTGTTAAATGACGAATTTTCGACAATGGTATATCAAGAAATACAATATTACCTGAAAAATAACAGTATTTTCGATTAAATATTCAAAATAAGTTATTCTACCTTGAATATCAAATCCTCTTCGACCAGCTCTTCCAGACGATTGTCGATATTGCAAATTGAATCCATTGCAAAAGGACCTGTTTTTGTTGGCATATGTATACCCAATGCTGAAAGGAAAAAAATTATTTTGATCTTATTGTTCAGATGTTTTGTCTTTCACCTAAAGTTGATGTTGAGAATACAATTTGTATATAACGATTACGAAATAATACTTCAACAGCTACACATCCTTTGTTATTCACGCCACCATGATGATAAGCAATACCACGTTTCACTAATTTAACGAGTAATGGATTTTCATTTGATGCGCGCTTAAGTAATGAATCAATTAATTCTTTATTACTTTCACGTACATTTGCTAATGTACACTGGGGTAATATTCCATAGAATAAATCTTGTTCAATACTAGACTCTCATCATCTGATTTATCATCTGTCGTCTTCTAATCGTTATCAGTACTATGATTTATTGATTTTGATATTTTTTTCTTAAATAATTTTCTAATTTTTTCTATTTGTGATAAACGACTTTCTATTTGTTCTATTTGTTCTATTTGTGTTTTGTATACTGTTGTTCTTAACTTTTCTTCTTCGTTTTCAAAATGTAAGAAAACGTTTAGAGCCATTTCTTCACATAATGAACGACTATCCGAAAAAACAATACAGGGAATAAATTTTTTTCGCGTAGTGTTAGAACGAAATCAACAATTAAATCTGAGATTCTTTTTGGTTCTGGATAATGAATATTTGAAACAGTAGTCATTTCATTTAAATTTTGTGTAACTGATTGTATGAGTTTATCTTCTTTATTTTTAATCATATCTTGAATTAATCACATACTAATCGAGAATATTCATTTACTTTGAACGTTTGAACGTTCGGTTATCCAGCTGTTAACTCTTTATACACGGCGGTCCCTTCCAAGGGACATTGATGTAATAGATTTATACAAAGAACGGATCATCAGGCCATAAGCTAGATTATTACTAATATAGGACAATAGAGTAGCCTAACTTTTGATTGAAATAAGAAAAAAACATTTCCGTTTTAATCCGATATTTTTGAATTTTAAAACTGAATGAAGTTCAAAAATGAATTTTTTGGTTTTAGATATTTTCTATACTTGTAGCTACTAAATTATTTTCTAATTTTGTAGTTGGTAGTTTTGGTTGTATGGATGCACTTTATAATGAAATCAAAGCAGACATTTTTGTAGCATTCTTCTTTGTGTAAAAGCGCTGTGGATTCACTGTCCCTTGGAAGGGACATTCGGGTGTAACGACATGAAAAGCGAATTTTTTTATCTTAACATCTTGTTAGCGTGAGTCATTCTCAAAAATCTCTCTTAAAAGTCAGATTTCAATCAGTTTATTTATATTTTTCGACGAGCGCGAGATTCCTTACAAGATGGCTCGGTTTCTGTTTGCTCGAATGTTTTAGGCCTGATATATTTTTTCATTATATCATAAAATAATCAGTGGTTTTCACATTTTTCGACTGTTAATTTTTCTGCGCCTTAGAAGTTGATTTTAGACTTTCTGAAACTTTTAATCATTTCTGGGCGTCGATCCAAAAAGCCTGTTCGATCGTATTTATTCCTTTTTCTCCGTAAGTTCGGCGTTCTTAATAGAATCTTATACACGAAAAACATGCGTAATTAAACGGGCTTTAAAGTGAGCTGTAATACATTGTTTAAAAGTTGTCTTCATAGATGTACTGGACAAATAGTTGGTAGGCATCTCGATTTGAACCGAAGTAGTAGACAAAACTGATAGTTTCAGTTACCGTTGAAATAACGGTAACTATCAGTTAGTTAACTTTGAGGTAATTATTTTTTAAGTATGCAAAAATATCCTCTCAGCGGCTTAAAATGGCTTCCAAAATCGTTAGTTTTCCACTAAAACTGTTGAAACTTCCATAAATGACATGGCTTTGTACTCTAATTTCGTTGATGAAAAGAAAACAAAAAGATTTCTCAAGCTGGCTATAGATGCTGAGGTCTTCAGAGACCTTATCGTAATTATAAAACATCGAAGTTATATAATTTCGATTAGTTTAGTTGACTCGCACGTGTGTGCCAATCAAAACCATGTCATTTATGAAAGTTTCAACAGTTTAAGTGGAAAACGAACGATTTTGGAAGTCATTTTAAGCTGCTGCGTGGATATTTCTGCATACTTAAAAAATAATTACCACAAAGTTAACTAACTGATAGTTACTAACTGGAAACACAATTAGCGTTAAAACAATGGTAACTGAAAAGACAGTTACCGTTGTTTTAACGGTAACTGTATTTTCAGTTAGCGTTAAATCAACGCAACGGAAACTTTCACAGCCCTAAGTAAGATTCCGCTAATTCAATGATCGAATAAGATA